TCTTGACATGGAGCTCTCTCTAGTTGTAAATCCTCCTGGAAATTCCATACGGATTACCATATTGGAGTCTGTCTATATTTCTGAGATGAGGTATTATGTACAGTATTTACATTAGTCGGACTATTGTCCTCATCTTTGTCGCCATATTTGTCACAACGTTTCAGCCGTTGTACGCTCCCGCCTTCTTCAGGTGGTTGGAATTTCGAACTGAACCCTTTATTTTGATCACTGGTGTAGACTGTTCTAGTTCCACGTGCCATGTTTGATGGATGTCAGTTATCAGTTATCTCCTGCTAATTTTCCCTCTGAAAGTTCTCCACTGCCTTAACCAGGTATTGAACTCACCTTCTTTGGGTCTGTCACTGGATCTAACCAACGCCTTTATCCACTGTGCCATGTAACTGACATCCATCAAACATGGCACATGGAACTAGAACAGTCTACCCCAGTGATCGAAAATAAAGACTTCAGTTTGAAATTCCAAATTACCTGAAGAATTGTATAAAAACGCCAAACGTTGTATAAATATATATACAAAAGATGAGGACAATAGTCCGACTAATGTAAATACTGGATTACCATATTGTATTATTACTATATATATATATATATATATATATATTAATAAACTTTGCAATCAATTTACAAATACATGAATTATTCACACAAAACTAATGCAAAGGTTAATGCTTTAAAAAGACATCCATCGTTATAAAAATTGATCCTTGTTTATATAAATACGGCAGAAATTTATGAAAACAAGGATCAATTCATTCATAACGGATCTGGAGGTTTTTTATACTATTTGAATTGATGATGGATGTCTCGCCATTTAAAGCATTAACCTTTTGCATTAGTTTTTGTGAATAATTCATGTATTTATATATATATATATATATATATATATATATATATATATATATATAAATTTATCTGAAAATATAACATAAATATGTTATAAAATTTATTCCATATACATTAATCCTATACTTGGGTATATATATATATATATATATATATATATATATATATATATATATATATATAAAATTGATATTACATTTCAATTAAATGCAAGTTATTATTGAATTTGGAATACAGTGCTCAGTATCTTGCAGACAAAGCCCTATACAGTGCAAATGTTATGTTTTAATGATCAATTTATATATATATATATATATATATATAAAACCTGGCTTGACAGTGCAAGAAATGTGTGAAATATTTATTTTTTGAGATTGTGCTATGCATCATCTTATTGTTTAGATAATTTTAAAAGTTGTTAAAAATTCTGTTGTTGAATATCTTTGGTGGCTTAAAAGAGGCAAAGATGATGGTTTCTGTCATGAAAATGTACCCATCAATGGTCTACTTCAATTGGACATTCATAATAGATACCTTTACATTTCAAGTTGGTCTAGTCAAGAAAATAGTCATCTACATAATGAGAAAATATATTTTGGCATAGGATCACTGTATACAGTTATTTCTTCATTGATAGAAATAAAATAAACTGTTAAAATATTATACTCAACTATAATGCAAAACCCTAACCAGTTTTAGTTTCTGATACAATATTTTTCTTACATTATGCATCAATGATTGCAGTAATTAATTTGATTTTTGAATATCATCAAATGACGAAATATGAATTTTTCAGACTCTTATTTTTCAAGAATACATCAAATGGATTTCATTAAATAATCTTATGCAAACATACACATATCTACAAAAAATAATTGCTATTCTGTATGACCAAAAAAAAGATATCTTTCTCAGTTATTATTAACTTTTACCATTTTTATTTAGTTTCTTATAGTAGATAAGAATAAAAACAAAAATGTACATTAATGAAAGAAGCTGTTATTTCTTTAAAGCTGTTCAAAATGCTCTTTTTTAAACTTCTGCTTGGGATCAAAGCATTATTTATTTTTTATTTAATGAAATATGGTTAGAGACACGATTAAAATTTAGTTAAAATTTCAAATGTGTAATCGGAAAAAAGAAAATCATATGTCAATAAATCTACGTAAAGATTTTCTTGAAAATAATTTAATAATGTTTAAAGTTTTTAATGCTAAAAATGAATCATATCTGAGGTTTCTATAAGCAAAGAAAAACTGATAGAAAATAAGGTTCTTTGTTCCCAGATGTCATTTTGAGTGATTTATGAAACATCTGTTGAGACTCAAGGGAATATTGAATAATTTAACAGATGAACAATTGGATCAAATTTCTCAAACTCTTAGGCAACACTTAATATACAGTATGTCAAATATTAAGCAAATCAATGTTTTTATCATAAAATTGGTATAACCAAACTGATATTGGTAAAATTTTCAATATGTTCATATTTATAATATAATTTTTTCAATATGTTCATATTTATATTTTCAATATGTTCATATTTATATAATAAATGTATTTTTTCAACTTATATTTATCCTAGTTAAAAATATTAACAATAAGTTCTTTTGAGGATGTCAAGTTTTATTATGTAAGCAAACTACAGCCTGTCTGAAGTTATTATGCAAATCAAAGAAAGCTCAATAGCATGTTCTGAACCAATATTTGTTAATTTTAAATGGTTCTATTTCCATCCTTAGTAAAATATTTAACTAAATTTTCTACCATTTGTAATGGTTAGTTTGGAATTTACAAAAATGGACTGACTGAAGTTAATATGCAGATTAAACCAATATTAGTTTAAGATCTCTGAATTTTAATAAAAACTATTTTTTCTTTTTGTCTATAATATATGTTGAAACATGGGTAAAGGGAAGGATCTAACTACTGCTGAAAAACAGAAAATAACAAAGTTATTGAGTGAGGCAATGTCTACATTAGAGATATCAAAGGAACTTTGCAGAGATCATCAAATGACAAAGAAGGCTATCAAAAAAAAATAAATAAATAAAAGTTAGTTGAGAACTCAAAGCAAAGGAAAAGGCTTTAAGAACTTGCTTCCTCAAGATGAAGGTAAATCAAAGCGAGTTATAGTGAATCAACCACTTTTGACCAGTGCTCAGATCTTTGAAAAGGTTTGAATTGAGGAAGTCAAGAAGGACAAAAAGTGTAGAATACTTTGTGAATTGAGATCTGTAAAAACGTCTCCTTGGCAAACTGCTCTCACTAAAGCATCAAAATTGAGCCAAGAAATACACAAAAATTGAGTTTTCTAAATAATTTTCATAGACGAATGACATTTGATGGACCTGATGGATGGGCCAAAGGATGGATTTTATCCAATTCAGCTAAAAGAAGGCAATAAGGAAGTAGTAATGTTATGATACTGGCTGGAATTGTTGACCAAACCATTATTGAACCATTCAAAGTTAAACTGAACAATGCTAATGATTGCAATTTTATGAACAAGACTTTGTTTGCATTGTACAAGTCCCATTTTTAAAGTGGAGTGTGTATCTATGCATGATAATGCTTTGTCTCATGTACCTAAGAATACATGTGAATTCTTTGAGCACAAAAGATTTACTAAAGAGAAGATAATGGAATAACCACCATCAAATCCACATCAGAATCCAATCAAAAATCCATGGTCAATTGTGAAGATGAAATTATATAAAGATGGCAAACAACATAATGGCAAAACAGACCTATGGGAAGCAATTAAAACTACTATGTCAAAATTGAACCTTCTGAAGTAAAAAATTTAACAAAATAAATGGATAATAGATTACTGGCATTTATTGAGAAGAAAGGTTCACTATATTAAAATGTAAAGGATTCAAAGACTTATATGTGTTTGTTATTTGTTCTATTATAGGTGTTGTTCAATCTTTGATGATTTTTATTACCCTTTTTACCTTTTTATTGAAGTAAAATGTGATTATTTGGTTTTGCCTAATAACTTCAGATGGCAGTTTTTTAGAATACATTAAATAACTTCAATTAAACATGTTGATACTACCTATAATTTTACATCAGGCATTGTTTTGATATCTAAATTGATTGTTTAACATTTGACAATTTTTCTCAAACCAAATTTGAATTATTGAAGTTTATATGATTTGCTTAATAATTTCAAACAGGGTGCAAGTGTAACTGCAATTTTTACTCTTAAATAAATTCAAAAGCTATAAGCAAGAGAAACATACATTTGATTAACATAATATACCATATATCTGAATTAATTATTTTTTGTATTATTTTAAATGTTAATATTTTTCACATTAATATATGCTCTTAAAACTTCTATAATCAGCCATTAATTTTATTAATCTTTCCATTGTTTTAACATTACTTGCAGCAGTTGTTATTGCTCCCTACAGATCTTCTGCTTGCTTTCCATTCTTATAAAATCTTTTTTAATAATGAATCACAAGTTTTCAATTGGATTAGTGACTGGAGAGACTGGGGGATATTCCATTAATTTGGTGTCTTTGAAACTATTTTTGTGGAGAAGGTGGGCAATATTTACTTTTGCAGCATGTAAAGGAATATTGCCATGTATATGTATACTCTTTAGTTTAAGGCTTCATTGTGACCTGTACCACTCAAAAAATATGTCTTGACTCTCTACAGAGAACCATATTTATCTTGAACTATCATCAAATTTAAAGGTACCTATAATTTTACTGCCTACAACATTAGCCTAAACATTACTTCATCCCCCCCCACACTTGTATTTAACAGATTTTGCTAATTTTTATTCTTATGATTAAGATGGTTTTTTTATTGGATTGCTGCAGCCACCAAAGAGACAATGTTGTTAAGAGTCGTAAAATATATTTTATAGGGTCAAATAAAAATATCACTTTTCTTTTGTATAACTAACACAGTGGCAGTCATTAGTAAAATCTCATGATAATCATAAATTTTAAAGCATTATTATCATCATCCCACTATTAAGATATTAGTATAACATCTTACAGCTATGTTATCCAAAATACACTTATATCAGTAAATAAATATGACTTTGAAAAATCCTCAAAAAAAGGTGTCAAATGTAATTGTGATGATTTGTCTTTTTATTTCAACAGGAAAGAAAGCAGAGTAATACACAATTACAGCAGAGTGTCACTCAACTCAAATGGTTCGACAGTTTTTTAGTGTTCAATTTTGGATTGCTTCTTTAATTTCCATCATTGACATTTGATGTGTCCGCTGTTTGGTTGGAATAAACGATTATATTTTTAATTTTGCATTTTGGTTTTTATGGAGCTTTTATAAACAAACAAATATAAACAGGTGCAAAAAAAACAACAAACACCAAAAAAAAACAATGCAAAAAAATCTTTGAGAGATTGGAGTTTCTAATCATTTTTTTCCTGTATGGCATTCAAAAATTCTTAAAAGCTTTTGTGTTTATTTTTATGCATGTGTCATATTTGTTGTTATTTTTTAAAACAGTAAAGTTCTATATAATGATAAAGTTTAATTTAAGTCCTAAATATTAATTTGAAAGAAATTTAAATGTTATCCTTTTATCTTTACTGCATTTTCTATAAATTATAAACAACTATTGTTATAAGTATTTAGATGCAACTGAAAACACCAAGTTCAGAGTATTAATGAAATGTCATTTCATAAAAATTGCTGTGTATTTAAAGTATTTTCACTTTTTTTAGCTCCTGTATGTTTTTGATGCTTATATAATGCTCAGATATATCTTTCGATGATCCTAGCTTTTCTAAAAGGTTTTCGTGTTTTGGTAGATGGTTTCTATTCTACTTTACCTTTGAAAGCATCATAATCAAAAACTGATGATCATATACTTCAAGGCTTTATTTCAAGAGAAAATCAACAGTCATAAGATGCTTAAGTCAGTTCAGGACAGTATAATTAGATATTGTTTCATTTTTCTTCTTCCCAAATTCTACAAAGGTTCAGCAGCTCTGAGGCTTAATTTAAAATAATGTCCCAAAATTACCAGAATTGTATCAGCCATTATAACATCTGAAACAAAATGTAGAGCTAAATAGTATTGATGGTGATATATATATATAATGATAATATTGTGGAGTGATAAAATCTTTACATGAGTATGGGAAATAAACTTTAGAGTAAAGATTTGTAAAAATCAAAAATACTTTTTGTATAACCCAATAATAATATTAATAATATAGTGGACTTTTTGAAATAAGTTTTAGAGTAAAGATCTGTAAAAAATGAAAATATTTTTGATACACTTTCATCCTTCATAATTACCAAAGTATAAAGAACACTTGTGGATATAGCCCAAGTAAAGTGGAAAAAATGAAAACACATTTTAGGATATAAGATGAATTAAGCTAAAAAAAATGCCTAATGATGAGACATTGTAGGGTGAATTGGGTTCCATAATAGTATTTACCTATTTTATCCAGAGATACAAAAGTACAAAATATGGATAAGTGTTTTTAATCAAAAAAATGTCAAGAACCATTTCAATTATTGTCGTAATTTTTAAAAGGTAACCTATCCTTATTCATAGATATTTACTAAGTCAAGTTTAAACTGGCTCAAGATCAAAAGTTTGGATCACCTATTGATGGCTGAATTTAATACTATGGATTAGCTTTATAGACATTGCTATTTTAATTTCAAAAGAGAAAAATATTAGAATATAAAAAAATATTGAATGTTTCCATTGAGACTTAATTTTGATTCTTCAAATTGAGTTTTTTTAAGATTTTCACAGTGAATATTTTACAGATCCCAAATTAACTGAGTTTTTTTTTCTTTCACCTAACATAATTTCATATAAAAAAGAAAAAATTATTTAATTCTTTTAAATGTTGATATTTTTCTATTAATTTAAATGGAAAAATATTTAAATAAATTTAATTGAGGATTTTGTTTGCATGTCTTAACTTACTAATATTTGCAACTTCTGCCTTTAATTTTACTTACATTCTAAAAGTTGCCTATTTTCTACTCTTTGCAAACAGATATATTTTCCTTAAACTGTTATTATCCAGTATATTTGATCACTGTATCTTCACCCCTCCACAATTACTCAGTCAAAATTCTTGCATTATTTCTAAATCTGTCATTTCCATAACAATACAACAATGTCAAAAATTGCTTATATTTTATATGTATCTTTCTTTTCTAAATTTATAATTTGTTTTTGTTTTCTTTTATAATATTTACCCTTGTCAATTGCAAATTTTTTCTGTTGGTTAATTTCTACCTTTTCAATCAAATTGTGATTTTCCTGTCTCGATGACAAAACAAATGCCAAATCTTTAAACTAACCTGGTTTTAAGAAAATAACACATACATCTTGATGAGTGAGGATGAAAAAATGATTTTTGTTTTTGCCTATCACATGAGTTGTGTAAATGTCTTGCTTGCCCTTTTTTCTTTTCTTTATTCTTTTCTTTTTTTGACTATAACAAATATTTTCTGGGCTGAAATATTCTATGAATTGTTTATTCAAAATTCCTCAATGATTTACCATTCGGTAATTACACATTTTTTAAACTGTTGATACTGAAACCCTTTGTATTATTTACTATTCAGACATGGTAAAAAATCTGTATTTCTTAGCCAAGCTCTCATTAATATTTTGAGAGTGATTGATTGATTATTTCATTTAGATATTCTTAAATCATCTTTAGGTTACATAATATAGATTTGCAGAATTTTATAACTTGTTTCTGAAAGCAAAACTTCTTATGTGCATTAAATAATTAACTCATTAAAAAATAATCAAATACATTGATTATTAAATAATAAAAAAAAATGGTTAAAAAGAACATTTATATATGCACACACCTATATATATATAACAACACAGATTGTTAGTGCCTAACAAAACACATTGGCCTGTATATTACTAGAGTGTAATATATTTAAAGGTGAGCAGATGTTTTGTAAACAGAGTCAAGTAATATATCTGCAAAACTTGAAATCAGAAAAGACATTTTTTTGGAAGTTTTATATATCTATTAATTATATAAATACATACAGTGTGGACAACATATATATAGACTGTGGACAATATAGTTACTGTTGGTTACACACTTCAATATGATCTTCAGACCAAGTTGGTTTAAAGACCGCATTGATATGTGAAACTGACAGTCAACATGCAGTTTTGGTCTTTATGTCTACACTTTCTATATCCATAAGCTTTCTTCCCCTATAAATATACCAAATTTTAACTATGCACATGCACACACACACATATATATATGTTTAAAAGTTCATTACTCGATTATCAATATTATCAATACAAACAAAAGAGTTTATACAAACAGAAGTCTTGAAGCTATGATATACAAAAATATTTTTTTATAAAGGTTTTATTTTCAAACTGTACAGAAATGTTTAAATAGAGATTATTTATCTGTCTTTCACTGATTTAAGAGTGAAGATATTTTTCATTATTTTTAATTAAACTGATTGTATATATATATAAAACAAAAACATATTCTTATAATTTTAAGATAAAAGAAAGATATAAAATGTTATTAATATTCTTTCAATGATTGGTTAAATTTGTTTTCAGCAAATTAAGGTCAAGTTGAGAAATTACAAAGTAATTTATGTTTGAATTTCTGGGATGAGGAGTTATCAATATTTACATTCAAACTAATGTCTTCAGCTCTGATGTTGTTATCACCTGATTGCCTTCCATCTGAATTTTTGGAATGAGGAGTTATTATTATTTACATTCAGACTATTATCTTCATATTTCTTGTTATTATTACCCTATTACATTCTGTTTGAATTTTGGGGATGAGGAGTTGTCATTATTTACATTCAAACTAATCTCTTCATCTTTTGTGTTATTATCTTAATATTTCAGCTGTTGTGCCTTTTTATCTTCTTCAGGTATCTGTCAATCCAGGTAACCTTCAGGTATAGACAGACACCTGAAGAAGACCAGTGAGGACAACAACTGAAACATTGTGATAATATCAACAAAGATGAGGATACTCGTTTGAATGTAAATAATGACAATACAAAATAATTGCATAAATATATATTTATATACAAAACAACAGCAGAAAGTTTAAATACATATACATGTATATATTTATATGTGTTCATACTTCTATATATATTGTAAGTAGTATTTAAATAAGTATGTAAAATATAAATTAACATCCATTCATTTCAAGCTGTATATATATTCTCAAAAGTTCATTTGTATATATTTATGTACTAAATTATGTAAATCTCTATATGCATGTATTTATGTGCACACAAAATACACATATATTTGTATATATACTTCTGAGATTATATATATATATATATATATATATATATATATATATATATATATATATATATATATATATAAAGTTCAGATATAACTAGAAATATATCTGCAAAAAGACAATATGAATGAAGACAAAAGGAAAACTTATCTTAGCCAATGTGTTTTGTCCTCTGATGGATCTTATCAAGGCAAATATCTTTATTTATACACACACACACACATGAACAAAGGCAAAAGGAAAACTTATCTTAGTCGACACATTTTATCCTCCGAGGGAATTTATCAAGGCAGATGCAATGATTGTATTTTGTAACAAGAATTTATAGACAAGAGTAAAAGTGTTGTTAGTTTTCCAAGATTATTAAATTTATGAAATGCTCATAAATATTTATCAGGTTAACTAATTTTCCATCTAAGTAAGTTACTTTCGTTGAAAAGAGAAACTAACTTAGATGAAAAATTTGGGCACCTCGAGGTTGTGTAATAGTTAGCAAGCTTGTCTTGCTAGAATGATTACAACTGAGTAGTGAGTTCAATCCTCACTGGGTACCTCATACTTTCGGCCTTGTGCCACATCTAAGCTACACTTGGAAAATTTCTATGTAGATGAAAAATTCCTAAGAGTGCCGGCATCAAATCTTACCATAATATAAATCTGCTCCCTGGATTTTTTTCAAATTTTTCTATTCCTGAAAGAATTAATACTTTCTCAAGCCAACATATATGACTATAAAAATGTTATTTAAAATATATAATACATAAACTAATCCCAAACTAAAATAATTTAAATATTAATTTGAATTAAATTTTCAAGAACATCTTTTACTCACTTTATCTAT